TCATGTAACATGCCATGGTGTGGATCTCTCCTGGTCATGTAACATGCTATGGTGTGGTTCTCTCCTGGTTATGTCTGTTTGGGTTTGGATAGTATAAATCTCCATCTCTAGATAGAAAACTAGATCTAGATAGTTTTCTTTCCTGTCTCTCCTCTTTAATGTTTTCACCTAGCTGTCAGACTATTCCAAGAATGTCAAGATGGGCAAGGCCTGTGCCTTTCCCGCTAGTCCCCTTGCTGGCCCCCGTGTTTCTTGTTCACAACTGGCCCTGTCTTTCTACTTCACTGGACTATGTCATCACATTTTTAATCCGTTACCAGGCATTTGTCTATATGAGTTTCTTTGGGACCTCTTGCTAATAAGCACATCCTTTTGGAAGTATGCAGCCTCAAGTTTTCATCTGTTTGTTTTTTTTCCAGTGTTAAGATTTGTGCACAGTGGACCAGATATTTCTACCGTTTACCTGACAGGCTCTGTAGTAATTGGGTTTCTCTTAGAAGTACGTCTCGGTTAGTGGGTTTGTTGTGGGATGCTGGCTGTGGTTGCAGCTGGGCAGTGCAGTACCCGCCCATAGCTTCCTTCACTTGTTTTGGCAAGTTTCAGCCAGAGAGAGGAGGGGAGCAGAGAAGGCCTGGCCAGTCTGAGCCTATGGCACCAGGAGAATTTTGAGAGAAAGTACTCTATTCATTTGTTTTTTTGGACTGAAAGCGTAGATGTGTAACGTATAGGTTGACAGTATGAGCTGATATGGACTTTGGGACTTCTAACTACCTGAGAGCCTGGATGCTTACAGCTGCCTAAGTCTCCCTTGGGAAAGAAAGGCTGATTTTGGTGGTATAGGCTTGTTAAAGAGTATTGTAGCAAGCAAGCACTCAGTGGGGCACGTACTGTAGGAGAGAGCACAAGGTCCTTCTTTCCCATCCTCTTGACAGGAGGGTGGCAGCAATGGATGCTGCAGAGCACCAGCCATAACTAGAAAAGGTATGATGGAGATGACACAGAGACAGGAGGCACAGCGGCTTGGAGCAGCACACAACCTGTCCGTGTCTGCCCAGTGGTCGGTAGCCCAACGACCCAGCTTATCTGATCACTGGTCTCTGGATGCTTGGTGTTCTGTGGATATGTCATATTCTTTTCCTTTTTTCTTTAAATGCTTATTGTATGTGTGCACACGTGCGTGTGCCATGGCACGCATGTGGAGGTCAGAGGACAACTTTGCAAAGTTCTTCTTTCCTTCCATCACACGGGCTCTGAGTATGGCCCAGGTTGTCAGGCTTGGTGGGATTTACCTGGTGATCTGAGCCATCTTGCCAGCCCAAAGTCACAGTTTAAAATTTTTTTTTCCATGTCTAGTAGTAGTTTAAAAATCTTTTAATTATTCTGTATGTGTGAATTTTGCACACACACACACACACACACACACACACATATGCATGTATGTGAACTACTTGTATACCTGGTGCCTATGGAGATCAGAAGGTGTTGAGTTCCTTGGAACTGGAGTTACAGAGGTTTGTGAGACACAGTGTGGGTATTGGGAATTGAACCCGGTGCTCTGTAAGAGCAGCCAGTGCTCTTGTCTGCTGAGCCCTTTCTCCAGCCCCTCATGTCAGGTAACTTTTTTTTAGATTTATTTATGTATATGACTACTCTATTTGCATGTATGCCTGCATGACAGAAGAGGGCATCAGATCCCATTACAGATGGTTGTGAGCCACCATGTGGTTGCTGGGACTTGAACTCAGGACCTCTGGAAGAACAGCTTGTGCTCTTTGACTGCTGAACCATCTCTCCAGCTCCCATGTCTAGTAATTTTTGATTGAACACTGTGTATTAGACATGTTCTAAGTGAACAGAACCAATAGGCTGCGTGTGTGTGTGTGTGTGTCTATGTGTGAGTGCATGTGTGTCTGTGTGTGTGTACGAATCAAAGAACATTTGCTAGACTGGCTGCCATGATAAAGACTGGCAGTGGGAGAGGCAGAGAACCCCGGAGCTGCTCAGTGCCTTCCCCCAACCCCCAAACACACACCCCCATACACACACACACACACACACACACACACACACACACACACACACACACAGTGACAGGCCTGGAAGCTTCCTGGAGAGTGGCTGGTGTTCTGCCTGGGAAGCTGGAGTTAAGTGTTAGCAGAGATTGGCAGAACTCACTCAGGAAGCAACCAGACAGGCATGCTGCTTTTCCTCAGGACGCTTCTATGTGGGACGTCCATTGGCAGATGCTGTTTACTTTGACAGCAGGTCCTCCCTCTGCAGTGTCTCAGGTTTGTGTCCCCTAGTCAGATGGGAGGAGACCACCATCGTAGCCAACCCTGATTGGTACAGTGTAAGCTCTGGACCCTGCTGAGGTGCGTTTTGTCTCAGCATGGCAAGGCTGAAGCTCTGAGGTCCTGCCTGCCTTTCACAGTGGCGGCTGGAGTTAAGCGTTTCTCCTCATACTCCATCAGTGATCCCAGCATATCAATTGCCTGCAGAATCAGTGATGTCGCCTCTCTGCGGCTCGCCTACTTTTAGGATTTCTCCTTCACTCTCAGCCCTGAACTCTCTCACTGCGGAACCATGTCATTTAAGGGTTGATGTGAACCCTTGGGCAAAAAGTTAGATATGTGTGCGTCCCGTGGCCATTCTCCCCAGAGGTAGAGTCCCTGCACTGTCTGCCCGTGTTTGCCCGTTCTTTAATGCCTTCATTACATTTCAGATACATTGTTCAGATCTTATGGCTGTCATCTGAGGCCGGTGGTGTGACCACTCTGATGGAAGCCATAGCTTCAGTGGCATCTGGGCTTTCCCTCAGGTTGCAGTGGTTAGAGTTGGAGAGCAGAAGCTCCTTGGTTAACCCAGCCTGCCGTAACCACCGCCATGTTGAGTGACTCTTAACAGGAACCTTCGACACCTGGCACCATGTGACAACAGTGAAGGTGATGCAGAGATGGTCTCTAGTGAGAGCTCTCTTCAGCTTAGAGAAAGCTGCCTTCCCACTGCCCTTATGGCCTGGGCTCTGCACACATGTTCTGGTGCCACTTCTGCTAAAGCCCCGTCCCAAGGAACTCAGCTACACTGACCCATCCTCAGCCCCAGTTCCCAATTCATCAGGCTGGGGGTAATGCCTATCTTACCTTTCTCCTTCCTGTGACAAAATACCCAGCAGGAAGCAACCTAAGGAAGGAGGAGGGGCTTATTGTGGCTCACGGTTTGACGGGACACAGTCCTTCATACAAGTCGCAGCATTCGGAACAGGCCACTGCTGGTCGTGTGGCATCTGTATCAGGTGCAGAGGGTGCCGAGTGGGGGCGCTCAGCAAAGAGACCTCAGGAATAATAGCCGTCAAGGGAAGGTCTCCTTGGGAAAAGGCTTAAGAGAAAACAGGGCAGAGTTGGCTAGGAGCAGTTCTTCAGAGCAGGCCTAGAAATAGCAGACACAAGCAGCTCCAGGATTGAAAGATGAGAACGCTGTTGAGTGGGGGAGGGGGAGCATGTGGACCTGATCGACATCCTGTCCCTGCAGACAGTAAACTTGGGAATGTTGGTGGCCTTGGCTGGGAGAGATGGAGTAGATGTTTCTAGGTGTCCTTGGTGACGAGGGTTGGCATCACCTCCTCCATAAGGTAGGTGAGGGCCTAGAGCTGCTCCGGTGACCCTGGTGTCCTGTCGGCAGGCGTGGACAACGAGTCTGCCTCCAGCAGCATCCGCTTTAGCAAGGCCTGCCTGAAGAATGTCTTCTCCGTCCTGCTCATCCTCATCTACCTGCTGCTCATGGCAGTGGCTGTCTTCCTGGTCTACCAGACCATCACAGACTTCCGAGAGAAGCTCAAGCACCCTGTCATGTCCGTGTCTTACAAGGAGGTGGATCGCTATGATGCTCCAGGTATGGCTGCTGGGCCAGGCGCCAGTGCCCCAGCTTTGAGGTTTCTGTCAGCAGGCACCGCCTTGCCTCCCGAGCTAACACTGTCAGCACTGGCAGAATGCAGCAGGATGGTTGAGTTGTAGGCAGGCATCTGAGAGCCAGTGCCAGGCCCTGGAGCCCAGAGCTCTGGGTGAGCATTGGAGACAGGCTTTCCTAGGCATGAGGTGGGCAGCAAGTGTTTTGGGGAGGGGCAGCAGGGACCAGAGTGTCTTCTTTGGAGAGAGGAGAGAACTCCAGCCAGAGCTGAAGGCCAGGGATGAAGGGTAGTATGTTAGTTTCTTTTCTGTTGCTGTGACAAATCACCTCGAGCAAGGTGCTTCTTTTAAAAAGAAAGCCTTTAGTTGGTTTGTAGTTTCAGAGGGTAGAGTCCGTGATGGCGGAACATAGGCATGGTGGCAGGAAGAGCTGGCATGGAGAGCAGGAAGCAGGAAGCAGGAAGCACACTGAGGAAGACACCAGCCTTTTGAAACCTCAAGCCTGCCCCTCCAGTGACACACTTCTCCAACAAGGCCACACTTCCTAATCCTTCCCAAACAGCTCCACCAACTGGGGACCAAGTATATGACCCATGAGCCTGGGGGGGGGGCGCTATTGTAGTATCACAGGCAGCGAGAGGCAAGTACAGCGCAGGAAGGTGACAGGCTGTAGACAGGGTGGACAGCCATCCAGTCAGAGCCTAGCCTAGAGGGGCTCCAGGCTGCTCTGTGAACCTTTCTCCACATGCTGGGAGTGACTGATCCTTGTCTGACAGAGTGGGTGATCTAGCTATCACTGTAAGTTGGCATTGGAGAAGGAATGCGGCTCAGGCTTGCCCACTATGAGTGTGCCACTCTCTCTGACCTCGAGTGACACCCAGGGCATCCTGCACACAGGCTGGAGTGGGAGTTGGGAGTTTCCCCACAGCTAGGCCTGATCACTTCTTTCCTCCCCGGCTTTGCTGTGTCTGCTTCTGGCTCTTGGTGGGCTTTCCTTGCAGTGTCTGCCCTCAGCCCTCAGCCCCACCTCCATGCCTCTGCTATCCTCAGTGTCTCCTGGGAACCTGAGCGAGAGCATGCAGAACACTCTCTGTGCTGCGTGATCCCAGATCTCCTAGCAGAGGATAGACAGTGAGCCCTGGGGAGATGCACAGTCCGGAGCCTTTGCAGCACCAGGCAGGCAGTACCAATGTACTGTGAGGGGGGCCGCTCTGGTGGGAGTATCATGAGTCCTGGAAGCCATGTTCCAGACAGGGCGCGGAATGACTGAGGTGGTGAGTGTCCCCTATTGGGATAGGGCTGTGCCTTGCCCCACCCGCTTTCTGCTGCCTCCTTAGTGCTTTCTCAAGGAGATAGGGGTGCGATTCGGTTGGGTGCTCTGTTAGGATTCTGTGACTACTGACACTTGCCGATTTCTGTTTTTTTCCAGGGATTGCCTTATATCCTGGACAGGCTCAGCTGCTCAGCTGTAAGCACCACTATGAGGTCATTCCACCCCTTGCCAGCCCCGGGCAGCCAGGAGACAGGAACTGCACCACTCAGAGGATCAATTACACCCACCCCTTCTCCAATCACACCATGGTAATGCCTGCCTCCCTGGGTGCTTGCTGCTAGCCACACACCCTAAGGATTCCAGCCTTTCTTCCCTGTAGCCTGTTGGCATGGGCCCTTGGTCCCCGGCAGATGAGAGGGGTGGTGCGTGTGTGTTGCTGGGACATTTTGCCCTGAGATGGGAGGGTTAGCGGGACTGAAGGTAGTCTGCCTGCTGCTTGTCCGTGTCACTGAAAATACCACTTTCCGGGAACTGCCTAGGAATCCAGACATTGAGAAATTTGCCCTTGTGAAGATGGTGCACTGGTCTGGTGGTGAAGATTACTGAAAGCCCACACCACACAGCTCAGCTCAGCAGGCAAACCGTGCACAGTGTAGAAGGGTCCTGGGCAGGGCGATGGCTTTGCATTGTTGTGTCTTAGCTTTTTCCCTTCTTAAGAGGGACTGAAGGGGCCATCTGCAAGCTCCCCATCAACACAGAAGCGTCTTGTGCACAGGACATTGCTGACTATGGTGGTTTGAGTGAGAACGGCCCCCATTTTGAATGCTTGGTCCCCAGTTAGAGGAACCAATTGGGAAGGATTAGGAGGTGTGGCCTTGTTGGAGGAAGTGTGCCACCAGGGGTAGTTTTTGAGATTTCAGAATCCTTGGCCAGGCCCAGTTGTGTGTTCTTTTGCTCAACTCTCCCACCCCCACTGCCTGTGGGTAAGGATGAAAGCTCTCAGATATTTCTCCAGCACTGTGCCTTCCTGCCTGGATGCTGTCATGCCCCCGTCTGAATGATAAAAGACTAACTCTCTGAATCTGTAAGCCAACCCCAATGAAATGCTTTCTTTTATCACCTTGATCACGATGTCCCTTCACAACGACAAAACAGAGGCACTGACCATGGTGGTTGAGAGGACCAACACCGTGCAGCAGTGCCTCTGGGCAAGGTGATAGTGGTGGCTTAGAAGGTCTTGGAGGAGAAGCTGAGCTATGTCTAGGGACAGAAGGAAAGGACAGTGAGTGTGTCCTGCCATGTGGAGTCTTGCTCACCCTAAGCGAGAGAAGGAACGACGCCGAGGCTCTGGTCCATCTTCCTCAGACCCCTCAAAGCCTGATGAAGTGATTTTTACTCCTTGTAAAACAAGGTGAGGTAGGTCATGAGGACAGCCCTGTGCACTGAGGAAGGCTGCACAGGTAAACCAGAAGGTCAGAGGAGCTAGTCAGAGAGGGAAGGCTCATGACCCAGGACAGGACTGTTGGGAAGGGCCAGCTTCTAGCCCCCAGCTCAGTGTGACTGAATGACTGAGTTTGGGACAGGGCTGACTGATGCAACTCAAGGACTTTGTCCCTCCTGGTTGCAGTACCTGCTGGGCAAGGTGCTTCCCTGGATGCCAGGCCCCAGAGCAGCCTCTACACAGGCTGAGGGAAGGCCCTCTGCTCAAGCATGGAGACAGGCCTGGGGTTGGATCATCACTGCTGCAAGAATCTCCTCAGGTGATAACCTGGTCTGCCAGCATCCAAAGGAGAGGGTTAGGCAAGCAGATGTAAGCACTGGAGAGACACCCCCACTCGGACCACTACTTAGGATTTGAATTTTTTATTCCTGAGACTGGATGGTTGGTGGTCACTGGATGTTTCCATGAAGCCAAGCTGAAGTAAAAGGACTTGAAATGAGACAGCAGCATCCAGTCAGGAAGAGGGACTCCTGGTTTTCCTCATTCCCTCTGAGAAGCACGGTGGCACTAGGGTGCAGCTGTGCCCATTCCAGGAGCCTCTTGCCCTTCCCCCGTTGACTGGCATGCTTCCTAGGAGCCAGCTGCCCACACTCAGAACTTTTATTGCTATATACTTCATAACTTAAATGTAAGTTTAAGAGGAGTAAGGGGCACAGAAGGAAGAGTGTGCTCATGGGAAGGAAGGTAGACTCATCACTACCCCAGTTCTGAGGGATGGTTAATCTTCTCCATCAGCTCCTTCCAGCCACAAGCTGTGACCCTCAAATAAGTTTTCTTCCCCTCTCAACTGCTCCCTGAGCAAATCCGGCATGTAATGATGTAATGGGACTGGCGTGGGAGTGTGCGTCCAAACACCCTAGGCACTTGAGAGGCTGAGGCACGAACCTTGCTCGAGCCCTGGAGTTCAGCCCGAGCATCAACAGTGAGACTCCATCTCAGAGAAGGAAACAAGAGTAAGATTCAGGCACCGGAGTGTCCGTGTGTCAGGGATGGCTGGAGTGTTCACAGCTGCTTACAACCCTGGTGATGTCACGCAGGGACTGCACGGCCATCGTAATGCGCAGACAGTCCTCCCTGCTGCTGTCTGAGGAACACCGAGTGCCTTGGCCTCAGCACAGGCTAATCTGCATCGCTAGAAGCCCTGACGGCCACATCCAACTGGACTTAGGAAGCTGCCCTCCTGGGGGTCTGCATCAGCCTCTTTTGTAGTCTGCTTACAGCTCGAGTCATCTGGGGACTGGGGCTGAGGTGGCTTGTTCGCACCCTGACCTTCCCACCACCCTTTGCAGTGAGCTATTAATGTGTAGGCTCTAGCTGGCTGAGCCCACTGAGTCCTGTGACAGGCCTCCCCTCTGAGGGTCTTGTTGGGTCACATGGTGTAAGTCTTCAGGCTTTTGTTGACGTCTGGTGCTTTGGATTTCTTGTGGCTTGCCTGTAGCCAATGATTTTCTTGGGTACAGCTAGGACCACTACCTTTTCAGTCTGTCTCTGGGACTTCTCTAGCTCCTAAAGTACTCATCTGATAAAGTGTGCTCATCAGGGTTCAGGCTTAGCTCCTGTGTGCCAGCACCCTTCCTGAGGTGCCCCCCTGGAGGCCGAGGCAGCTTCTGAGAGTGCTCTCATGTTACTCTGTCTCAGCGAATCGTCCTGATGCGTTCAGTTGAACGTTGTGAACTAGTTGTAAGGCACATTTAGAAGAGAGGAGAGCACGTATCGAAACAACTAGGACACTGGAAGAATAATGTGGAAGGGACTGGCCCAGGCCGCAGTCACCTTACAACAGGTGATGCTGCAGACAGCAGTCCTGGCTCAGGGACAGACCAGGGCATTTGTAGGCTACATTCATCTAATGTACATGTAAGATTTAAAATGACAACGGGATGATGGAGAGATGGCTCAGTGGTTAAGAGGTTAAGAGCACTGACTGCTCTCCCAGAGGTCCTGAGTTCAATTCCCAGCAACAGCATGGTGGCTCACAACCATCTGTAATGAGGATCCAATGCCCTCTTCTGGTGTGTCTGAGGATAGCCGCAGTGTACTTATATACTTAAAATAAATAAATCTTACAAAAGAACAAAAACAAACCTTTAAATTCATGGCAGGGACATACTGGGGAACACTGAATATTGATATACCTTGGCAAGCCAACCCAGAAGGCATATGAGAAAGATGGGCAGGCTTCATTCACTGTAGTAGACATTAGGACAAAGTTAACTGGGGCACATCAACACATAGCAGGCAGAAGCAGACACTCTCACCCAGGAAAGATGCTCCGTAGGGTGCACAGCCTGTGAAGAGAGTGCAGGAGTCACATTTGGCTGGACTCTGCTGTGCTGAGATGTCTCCACGGCCAGCTTGCATCCCTGGGCTTGGCAGTAGTCCCTGGAGGCTGCTGGGTGACCTGCTGTGTGTTTGCCTGGCAGTGCTTGTGGCCGAAGTCTCTGTGGGCCTGTGGGAGGGTTGGGGGGCAGCCCCAAGCATTAAGGCTCTGGCTCTTGTCTCCCTGCAGCAGTCAGCCCTGATTGTCCAGGGGCCCCAGGACGTAAGGAAGCGAGAGCTGGTGTTCCTCCAGTTCCGCCTGAACCAGAGCAACGAGGACTTCAGCGCCATAGACTACCTCCTCTTCTCTTCTTTCCGGGAGTTCATGCAAAGGTGGCTGCTGAGAGGGCACGGGTCTCACTGTCTCCTGCCTTGCACATGTCCATGCGGGAAATGTGAGGTGAAGGTAGGGAGGGGGGAGCAGAGCTGGCCCAGAACAGGAGCTACCATAAGGACCTGGCAGCCCATTACACTGACTGTAGTCAAGCAAATGTGCATGCAGAGTTGCTTGCTGTCTGTGTGCATGCTGTCCTGGAGAGGGTTCTCGGTTGGCCTGGGCTGCTGAGGAGCAGAGGGAACTGCCTTCCGTGTGGTCCGTGAGCCTTCTTGCCTGCTGCCAGTTCCTGCTGGTTTAAGTACTGGGGTACACTCCAGTGCCATCTCCACGGCCTGAAACACTGGGTAGGATAGGAGTATTTCTGTCTGTCTCTGTTTGGCCCCACAGCCTGAAGCACTGGGTAGGATAGGAGTATTTCTGTCTGTCTCTGTCTGTCCCCACAGCCTGAAACACTGGGTAGGATAGGAGTATTTCTGTCTGTCCCTGTCTGGTCCTGCTGGGCTTCAGGCTCCATTTTTATGATGTGGGAAGATACATCACGGTGGCAGTGAGGTGACAGTCCTCCTGAACAGCAAGTCACATACCGCCTTTGCCGACCTTCCCACCCTAGCCAGCGCCTGCCCTGCTTATGGCCTGCCTGTCTTGTCTCCCTCCTGGAAGCTGTCGGAGCCCTGTCACCCTGACCCGCTTTAGTAAGGGTCCTCAGCTGGGCATTGTTGCTTTTTGTGTCTTTATTCTTTGACGGTTTCACACATGTATATCACACATTTCTGTCATTTTCTCTCCCAGCCTCCCCTCGTCCCCACAGGACCGCACTGAAACCCGTATTCTTCCCAACAAATCCCCTACCTGCCTTCCTGTCGTTTCCCATGTGAACTACTGTTTAATTAGAGTTGCCTACATGAGCGTGGGTGGCCCTACAGTGGCTACACTACTGAAGGAATGATAGCTTCTCTCCCAGCAAACATCACTAACTGCTAATGGTCCCCTAGGATGCAGGCCCAGCCTTGTGCTGACATGCAGCACTGCAGTGAGGGCAATGGCCGCCATGTCCCGAGATGTCTTGTATGTCTTGTATCTTCTGGCTCTTATATTCCTCCTGTCCTCTCTTCTGCAGTGTTCAGAGTTCCCTGATCCTTCAGGTGGGGTGTGTAAGAGCTGTCCCTTTTAGGGACAGACAAGCTCTGTTTTTGAGGACTGGTATGACGTAGCCCATGCTGTCCTAGAACTCCTCCTGGTGGCTGGGCTGACATCGTGCACCACTCTGCCTGGCTCTGCACTGCAGTCTGAGCTTGCTCACTTGGGCTTTGCTTGTGCTGTGTGTACAGTGCCCATGGGATGCTCTTCCCAATGCTGGGCCTTCTGGGGGGAGGCTGAGCTCGCCGAGGAGTGCAGCAAGCCATACTTCAGGGAGCTTTGGGAAACCTAAGGGTGGATGACTGAGCTGGCGGGAGGGAGGGAGGGAGGGAGGGAGGGAGGGAGGGAAGGAGGGAGGGATGCTGTGGCAAGGGGAGGTGTGTGCCATGGTGGAGGTGGGCTTAGGGACAGGAATCATGCTGCTGCCCTCCTACAGGTGGAACTGTATAGAAACTAAATGGAGGTATAGGTGGTTCAGGCACTGCTTTTGATGCCAACTAACAAACCAGGCAAGGCAGCCAGATCTGAGGGATACTTGAACAGACTTATTTTCTGTACCAGAAACAAAACCTGCTTGAGACTGGACTAAAGTTTGCTTTGGCTACGTTGGGTTCCAGCTGTCAGGCAGGCCTGAATTAACCTGGACCTTCCTTCTCTCTCTTCACCGAGCCCGGACAAGGCAGGCTTCATGCAGGCCTGTGAGAGTGCCTACTCCAGCTGGAAGTTCTCCGGAGGCTTCCGCACGTGGGTCAAGATGTCACTGGTGAAGACCAAGGAAGAAGATGGGCGAGAAGCTGTTGAGTTCCGACAAGAGGTAGTGGCTGTGTTTTGTTTCCTCGGCACACTTAAATTTGGGATGGAGGGAGACTTTTGAGTGGGGACCTGGGATGAGAACTTTAGTAGCCCGTGTGAAGGTGTCTCACACTGGAAGCAGTCTCCAGCAGTCTGTCTGTTCTCCATAGCACCATCTCTGTAGAAGTGGGGAACGTTTCCTAATGCTGCCAGAGACTGTTGCAGATGAGAGGAGGCCGAGCACGAGGGGTCTGAGGACATGTTAGGATGCAGGAGACGACAAGCTGAGCAGCCAGGAGCCAGGAGAATGCTGGGTGTTGAGGCAGGAGGATTGCCGGGGATTTTTAGCTGTCTGGGAAGAGCTGGGGAAGGCACGCTGTGGGGATGTGAAGGGCTCTGGCTTGCTTCCTTGGGAGTGCTGCCTCATCACAGGCAGACCTCTGGAGGTTCCACTGAAGTGGCAAAAAGCCACGTTCTCCCTGTGCACATGGAGCCCTGCCACCTAGGTCTAGTCAAGAGAGAGGATTTTTCCTGCCTTAGGGGGTGACACCGCCTGAAATCAAGACTAGGAGATGTTATTGTAAGATGACTGAAAGCCTCACAAAGGCTGGTCACCTACTCGGGGGCAGCCCTGCAACAAATCTCAGCATCATCTTCCTGTGGCCAGTGTGACGAGGTCACCTGTGGCCCTGTGCTTCTGGAGCCATCTTCCCTCCATTGTGCATGCTACCTTTACAGTATAGCTTCCTTTATAGTTGACTGGCTGATCTTCTCACGTGTGCCTACTGACAGAGCTCCTAGTGTGGAGCGGGGGCTACACGTTGTTCCCATAGATTCGAAGGGTTGCACTACTTAGCTCTTATATTTTGAATGTATCCTCTGAAGTAGGTTGAATATGGCTTGAGTCTAGACATCCGATGGCAGATTTTAGTGACAATTCAAAACACTGTCAGGCATTGTGATCTATTCTCCCAAGGAACTGTGGCAGCTGCAGTGAAGCCCTGACTCTTGCATGTGAGGCTTGACTTTCCCTCCCCAAAAGCTGCTGCTAGGAGAACCAAGGGCTACCTGCTCTTACTTCCCTGGGCCCAGGCAAGGGAGGGCCCAGAAGTGGTAAAGTGGTAATTCTGTCTGTTCTGCACCTAGACCAGCGTGGTTAATTATATTGACCAGAGGCCGGCAGCTGAGAAGAGTACTCAATTGTTCTTTGTGGTGTTTGAATGGAAAGATCCCTTCATCCAGAAGGTCCAGGATGTAAGTACTGCTAAAAGTGGTCTTCCTCCATTGTCACAAGATATCCCAGGATGACCATGGCAACAGGCAAGAGATTCCAAAGCTCAAACATGGGCCCTTCAGGTCCCAGGATGGAGTCTGAGACAGACACGCTTTGCTGCCACTCATGACCCTGAAGTTTGGCCCAGGCTTTGTATGAGAGGTAAAGGCTTGAGGCTTACTAAGATGAAAAGGGTGAAAGGAACCAGTCTAGCTGTGCGCTGATTTTCTTGAACCTGATATACCTATTATGAGAGGCTTCTGGGCCAAATAGAGCCTTAGAAGGCCCTTGAATCATGCAGGCCAAGGCATGGACACTGTACATGTAAAACATGGGCTCATTCACCTCAGACCACCCCACTGATCTTGGCTTACAAGTGGGTTTTTTTTTTTCCTTTTTTTAAACCACACAGGGGAATTTGAAAATGTAAGACTCCTGCTGAGTTAGGTGAGGGTGTAGACTCCATGGAGGAGTGCTTGTCCAGCATGCACAAGGCCTGGACTCTGTCTATTAGCACTACATAGAGATAAGAGGGTATTTAATGGGGGCCATGCTATTTCTTTTAAATCATACCCGACAGTTACCAGCTGTCACAGAGCTCTGCGGGGTAAACAACTTTGTTGAAGGAAAAAGGGTTTTGGCTGAGTGGATGGAGAGAGTGCTGAGTCGGAGGGATTAAGTCTGGATAGGAGAGCATCCCAGAGCCGGAAGGAAGGCACACTGGTCTGGTGGCAGAGTCCCCAGGATGAGTGTGAGGGGAACCAGCTGAAGACCACGGTAACTGAGACCAGGGGACCAATCTTGTGGCTAGAGTATAGTTTTAGGGAAATTTATTTGAGTTACTTGTTAGATTAAACCATAAAATTAAAGCTCAGTATGAATGTCTTGTTTACACAAGGAATTTTGAGGAGGAATCTTCTTCTGTGGAGGGGCTCACAGTTCCCTTCTGAGCAGCTGTGGATGTTAAATCTGAATGAGCAGAAGTGTTTCTCTGTTGGCTCCAAACTCTGAGGCAGAGAGTCAAGGCTGATGCCAACCAACAACCCTGGTTTTGTTTGCTCCACAGATAATCACGGCCAATCCTTGGAACACCATCGCCCTGCTCTGCGGGGCTTTCCTGGCGTTATTTAAAGCAGCAGAGTTTGCCAAACTAAGCGTGAAATGGATGATCAAAATCAGGAAACGATACCTTAAACGAAGAGGTCAGGCAACAAACCACATAAGCTGAAGCCCCCGTGCCACAGCACTCCGACAAACCGAGCCACCAGCAATCCTGTACTCACTTGAAGGGACCTTGCAGGGAAGGAGCCTGTCACACTGGATGCTCAAACCTTGCCCAGGAGGAAACTGTCCTGAGCCCAAAGGGAAATACCCAGTGAATAACCGGAAACTTATTTAAGTATTTAAATTATTACCGGACATTTTGCAGAGCTGCCTAGTGCCTTGGAGAGGTTTGCAGAAGGCGGCTTCCTCCTATTTTGGTCATTAAATAGTTAAGCTCCAGGTTAAGGCTTCTTCTTTACCTTAGGATTTTTTTTTTTTCTTTAAAGTGGACTGATGTGCCCTGTATACAAAATTCCTTTTATACCATCTACTGTTACTTAACAAGAACTTGTTAGAGCCTAGATCAGACTTTTTTTTCTTATCCGTAGCCCTGGTAGAATCACTGTGTAGACCAGGCCTGCCTCTACCTTCCCACTGCTGGAAATAAGAGCCTTACACCACTCCCCCCAGCTTTACGTGAAACCTTAAAGGTTACTAGAAACATGTGGTTGTATTCTGATGTGCTAGATGCACTAGCACAGATGTATACAGTAGGCACCTACTTAGCGTATCCTGATTTCATTAACAGGTAAATAAAGTTGGGCTAGCACAAAAGGGATGAGTGTGAATACCCAGTAAACCAGCAGGCAGCAACAGTGGACGATGATGCTATGACCAGCAAACCCAGAAGGTAGCATGAGACTGGACTGCAGCAAAATGGCTCTGACCCAGCCTATGTCACTGCTAACGGGGAGGTAAGCTGGGCACTGACGACAACAGGTGGCCAAGAGGGACACACCACATAAGGTAGTCATGGGTCCTACAGAAACTCATACCTAAAAGGGTGGCCTTTAGGGCTTTGACAAACAGCACCCGCATAAAGCCAAAAACTCAGTTTTCCACTTGTGGCCAGAGGTAACAGTAACGTCGAAGAATTTGTAATTAGGCCTTAGGGAATCGGACGTGAACTGCTCACAGGTGTAAGGACATTTTTGTCTCTAGAAATAAACTTGTATAGTGAAATGTTCCCGCTACCTTTGTCTCATAGATGTACAAGAATTTAGATTTTAGCCTAAATCTTTTATTATAAAACAATTTTAGCACAAATGCCAAGCATAAAGCATCAATGGCATTAAAGATATGTGAAGGACAGAAAGTTGAGGTGCAAAGGTACAGCCCAGTCACAGGATGTATGCTTAGCATGTAGGGCCCTGGTTACAAAGTTCACAGTTGCATATCACTTCAGTAGTTAAATGTCTGCCTCGGTGAACACTAAAGCTTTATTTATTTCCCTGTATTGTTAAATTTGCTTTAGATAACTAGGAAGTATTTTTACCTATCCATGGAATATGGCTTCCACTTTCTGGAAGGCCAACCGTGTTCTATGCGGGATGGCCAGGGCTGTGAAGAGCAGAGGCCTGAAGGGAGCGCTTCCCTAACTGCAGAGCCGCCCTGGAATGCCCACCGCTTGACAGTGTCATGGAGGCTGCTGCCACAGCAACAAAAATCCTGTGCTCCTTTTTAAACGGTGTTTAGTTGAAACCATGTTAGTCTTCCGGCCTTTCCCAGAACTGCTACTGTCACAGATTTCCCCCGTTTTAGTTAAAACTAGCTTTAATGTTAAACCTGTCCTAGAACACGGAGGGACAAGAAGCCTGAGATTTTATGAAAAGCTAGACTCCTAACCCATGAACCACAAGCGTCCTACTTCTGAGTAGAATACATCCGTTATAATCTTGCAATCTGTCTTCCAGAGACAAAAGAGCAAATGACATAAGGCAAAATACAAACATAGACTTTATTAAATGCTGCTCAATCCCCAGTGAAGATCTTTCATTATAAAACAGTTCTCCATACAACTGCAAGGCAAGAGGTTGGAATGGTACTGATAACAACAGGTGTGAAAAATACCTGCCCAGGTAAAAACATACAAGGCTTCTACATGGTCAGCTCAGAGGACGCCTACTGCATCTCCTTTAAATAAAGCCAGGCAGTGACAGCTAGCAGTCTGCATCACACTGTGGGACCCAGAGCCTCCGCCCTGCAGGCAGGCCTGGGGACGGGCAGGGTGAGGACTGGGAAGGCCCTGCCTCCAGCCTTGGAGGAGAGGAATGAAGGAGGTGAGCCTAGGGCATGAGCACACGCTCCGGGGCGCTGCTGCAGGGGATATTTGGGAACAGAATTTTGGTTTACTTTTCCCCCCAGCTTTAATACTTTGTGCTTCAGAAGCCTGGAAAAGTAAGCTGTTGCAGAACCCAGAGTATGGCAGTGTCTTTTATGAGGCTGGGCTCTCATCTCCCCGCCGCCTCTCTAGGAGAGGGGCAGGGAAGGGCAACACCTCAGCGTATCTTACGAAGGTTTTCCTCAGATGTACCCCAGGTGTGCAGCAAGGTGAAAGCACATGATAAAGGAAGTGTACGGAGGAAGGCTTGATCTGTGTGTGCAGCACAACCGGGCTCAAGTTGTGACACTCGCCACTCCCACAATCACCTCACTCAACAGATGATAGTGACACAATCCATGATTAGACAAAGTTTACAATATACTGTGGCCATGATACAGCAACAGGGTTATGTTTAGTCCATAATTCTTTCGCTTACGCTTGCCAGGAAAAACTGGCCTCCTAATTATATTATACTGATGAGGTTTGCTCTGAAGTTTTTATATATTCCAAAAAAGTGTACAAAACGGCCGCCCAGCAGGGGAGCTGATCTTTATTTGGCACTGGTACTGCTGAGAATACTGTGCATGTTGTAAGCATTGTTCTGTTTCTCTAGAGCCTTCTTCAGCTTCAACTCTTCTAGTTTCTTCCATAATTCTTCACGTTCCAGTTCTTTCTTCTTCTCTCTGTAGAGAAATCAGCAGTTTTAATTGGAAAAAGCCAGCGAAGTCACTGGTTGGCGGCTTTGTGGGGAATGAGCATTTCATTGCCTGTGGCTTCTGTGACACACATGGCACTAACTCACGTAGTCACTTGAGGGCTCTAGGTCAGCTACGGTAACACTCAGGCCTTACAGGGACAGGTAGAAGCCCCACCCTTCCCACCCCTGCAGAAAGGCAATCTCTGAGTGATCTTTAAAACTAAACAAGTAATTTTATTACAGGCTGTAAACATAGGCTTTTATTTCTACATCTCTTTTTAAAGAATTTGGTAACTTAAACAAGTGACCAACCAATCTACAGGTTCCTATACACCTCTCCTGCCTGTCGCTTTCTGGGCTCAGATCATGGTTCTAATTTCTGTCTGAACCTTGTGAGGTTTTTGTTTGTCTGACAGAGGCCTTGAGGTCACAGAGATCTGACTGGCTTCCTAAGCCAAAGCTGTGACAGCATGCTGACTTCAGATGCCACCTTCTGATGATCCACAGCCCTGGAGCGCTCAAGCTCTTAGGGAAAGATCTGGAAGGACACCACCCACCACAGTCTAGTGACTGTCAGAGGAGGAACGTCCTGGAATGACCCTAACCAATTTATAAAAATGCCAGATTACCTTACTGGACAATGGCTGTAGTGCTCAGAGGCTTTCTAGTGTATTCACCATAGATCCAAATGACTAAGAGACGGACCTTTCTGAAATGAGTAACATGCAATTCTCAAAACTCATCAAGTACCTCTGTCTTTCAGCTTTGTAGGAACTAGTTAGATCATCAAAAAGCTTGCCGTTCATCTCCATTAGGGTTTTTAGCACGTTGTACACCAGCGCTACAATAGTCCTGAAAGAAAGAAGTCAGTTTTGGGTCAGAGGGCAAGTGACACTGAACACACAGACCTGACTCTAATGTTTACATTCTTCGTATGTAAAATATAATATTCTGGTCCTCGTCATTTGTGTTCTGCAGTCTCATCTTAGACCCTGGGTAGCAAGATTAAAATGTCACAGAAGTTAGAATGTCTGAGTGCCTCATCTCCCTATGGTCCTTAGCTCCTAGCTTGGGGAGGCCACAGTGGCACTGGACCACCAGCTGGTGAGGTCATTTGCCACATCCACTTGCAGCTTTATAAAGACAGAACTGTGACATTAACCTTCAGTTGTAGGTTACAAATCTGTACAGGCTTCAATTGCAGTAATGCTGAAGCACATGAGAGTTGGGCATGGTGGGACAGATCTCAGCACTGAGGCTGAGGGGCAAGAGCCTGAGTTCAAGGCTAGCCTGTGCTATTTAGACTCTATGTTAAAATTGAAACCAACAACAACAAAAACTTACTGATTCCAGTGTTCTTTGGAAATTTTATACAAACTGGCAAACATGATTGGCAGGATTTTATCAATATTCTCTTCAATCAAACTAAGAATATATTCATTATTCCAGAAGTACAGTGCTCTTTCTGCAACCTAAAAGGACATCAGAAACCTCAGAATTCAGAGGGAAAAAGGATGGCACAAAAATCAGAATGTCACAAAGAAAGGAAGCTGGTACCTGAAAATGAGAACTGGAGACACACTTGGATATCTGCTTAAAAAGGGGCTCTTCAATTTTTTTGAATTGTGTTGGTTCAATGACATCTAAGATCTCTTCAATTTCTCCTAAAAACATCACCTAGGTTTTTTTTTAAAGAAAAAAAATTGTTTTAAAAAATTTACAAATGACAACTGTAGACAAAGGCAAATGTGTACATTAGGAAGAGGGTACAGTTCAGAGAGCAGGTCACGATTGCAAAGTCTTGATAGGAATGCATTTTTTATTATTAAAACTCACCTCTTTCTGACTGCATGTTTTTGGCCAAAATTTCAGCAGTCCTCTGATCACCTACAAAAACCACCAAAGTTTAGAATGAATCCAACAGTTGGGTGTGCAGTGCACATCTACAATCCTAGTACTTGGAGGTGCTGAGGCAGGAGAATTACAAGTTCTAGACCAGCCTGGGATACAGCCAGACCTTATCACTTCTACTAGCTAATCTGAAGATAGTTTACTATTCTGAAGTCAAGCATTCAGCACTTAGTACATGAAAATTCCTACTTAGCTGTAGACTTGGGCTGCTCCAGGTAGTACACAGCTGAGCAAAGTCTGTGGTTTCCATGGAACAGGACCAACGTCAGTGGACACTTACAGCACAAGAAAACGATGTATGGTGTGAAGGAAGTTATTTTATGAGAAAATTTTTGTTTTTTAAAGACTGTATAATGTGCCCAGTGCATGCTAGGCAAGCACTCTACCAACTGGGCTAAGCCTCAGCTCAGCAGGGGTAATCCTAACAGGCAATTCTCATTATCTAAATTTATAGAGTGCCCAAACCTGTTTTATGGCTGACAAAATCAGGGTAAAATGAGATTTTAAAAGGAGATGGTCTATTTCAACAATTAGGCCATGCATATAAAATTTCAAGCACCCCTAGGGTTAGCCTAAAATACATGAATTTTAATCCTTCAGTTTCAGTATTTATATTTAAAGTGCTCAGAAATCATTCTACCAAAACACTCATTTTACTTAAGGTAACAATGGTTTATATGGTAAGTTGGGTGAGCTCAAAATCCCAGCATTTAGGAGGCTGAGGCAGGAGGATCACAAGTTTGAGGCCGGTCTAGGCTAACTACAGTTCTAGACCAGCTAGACTAAAGGGTACAGAGCTTGTGAGGGCTGTGCTTCTGAGCCTTCTGCGCTCCCCCTGCTCATCTTCATCAGTTTCTCAATGACTAAGTTCTTCTCACTCTTCTAAGACTGGAACCCAAACTGCTGTGGCTGAGCAAACACTTCAATCTTTTTGTGCTTTATTTCTGAACAAAACTCAAGGGAATAGTTCTGGGGCTCAGTGTGTTCTCAGTGTAAGAACTGACAGAAACAGATTCCTGTGAGGAAGGCTAACAGTGGATCTTAGCTACATCTTAAACTTTTTTTTTTGGTTTTTCGAGACAGGGTTTCTCTGTGTAGCCCGGGCTATCCTGGAACTCACTCTGTAGACCAGGCTGGCCTCGAACTCAGAAATCCACCTGCCTCTGCCTCCCAAGTGCTGGGATTAAAGGCGTGCGCCACCACCGCCCAGCTACATCTTAACTGTTAATCCCCTCAGTTTATGCCTACTACCTCC